TAATTTCGATTAACCAATGATATTTTGGCAATATCACGGGATGATCAACAAAAATTAGCCAATCGGTATGAAAGCCCGCTATGCTGTTCCGAACCAGATGCAATTTCTTCACCCGGATCACCCGTGTGAATTGAAATCGGATGACCCGGATGAAAGCGGGTTAAATATGCGTCGTTTGTTGATTCTCGTCAATTCAGAATTTTCACAGATCAATTAATGAATTTAAAAATAAATGGAAGATGTTGTATTTCGTTTTTTTCAGTATATTCTCATCGTTAGATAATAAATATCGTTTAGAATTAATTCAGTAGTTAGTAAAACTTGTCTGATCTCAAAACGACATATTCACAAGAATTAACACAACATATCCAACCGGGTTATAATTTAGTGATCCGGGTCACCAGTTTTGGCTCGGGTGACCCAGTTACTACAAACCGGTTCGGAACTCTACACAAGACTCCCATAACCGCAGGATCATTCATTTTACACTTTTGAATCGTTACTTTTGCAATCTAAATTTCTTGCCTTTTAGCCTTCAATCAATAACGCATTTCAACTTTGGCACAATTTTTTTATTTTTTTATTTTATTTTTGCAGACAATAAAATTATTAGTAATTTGGCTTAATATACTGTAATTTATTTTTCGTTAACTTATATAGAACACAATTTAAGTAAAAATTAATTATATAATATTTTGTTAATAATTTAGAAATTTGTATCGTCATGCAAATTTGCTTGAGAATTATTGCTGATTTCTTGCATAATTCACAAATATCGATATGGAATTCATATTATATGAATTTATGCTAATACATATCGATAATAAAAGTTCACACATCACTGTTTCTATTAACGCTAATAAATTTTAAAATTACTAAATTACACATGACAAGTAAATCCAGTTGCAAGTATATTATGTAACTTTTGAATTGCGTAACCACTCAGTTGCGTAATCTGATTCCTTATCAGAAAATGGCTAGACGAACTGATTATTTATCATCTTTTATGCATTTTGATTTAACTGATAAACAATACATTGATAATCAAGAAAAAAAACCTGTATATACGACGAAATTAGGGATCTATACGTGCTAATAAAATCATTCAATATTAAATCAAGAAAGAAACAAGTATTTACATACGTACGTTCCTAATATACAGATATATAGTATAAATATAGAGGCATAGTGCAATACTGTAAGTGTTATCTTGTTGATTTACGCACGGAACATGCCGATACATATCTGATATGCGTTCCAAAGAAAAAAATATAATATATTTACATATCACTCCACACTGGCATCGTCTTTTAATACGTACTACGTATTTGGTTTAATTATTTATATTATTGTACGTATTAGGGGTGTTTCAAAAATCTTATTTTTCCGATTTATAATTCAAAATACTAAAAAAAATGCGCTCGTATTTTTAGGTGGCTTGTCTATTTTACACTATCACTATTTCAATTCATTTATTGATCTGCCATAATTAATAATAAATACTCTTTTTTTTTGATTAAATTTTCATTATAATGCCGAAAATCAAAGTCACAACTTTAAACTACTATAAGGTGTTGGAAGTTAATGCGAATGCAGATGAGAGAGAAATCCGACAAGCCTACAAGAGGTTAGCTTTAAAATGGCACCCAGATAAAAATCGGGGTAATTCAAACAAGACCGCCGAACTAAAATTTAAGGAGATAGCCGAAGCTTATGAAGTTTTAAGTGATAAAAATAAACGGTTTGAATATGACAATAGAGGAAGGCAATATAAATATGAAAATGAGGAAAATGAATGGGAAGAAGACGGGGAAGACGAATGGGAAGACGACGATGAAGACGAATCGGAAGAAGAAGAAGACGAATGGGAAGTATACGAAGAAAACGAATGGGAAGAAAAAATGCAAGAAAAAGAACAACGAGAAAGAATAGTCCGGGAAAAAAGAGAAAAAGAAATTAACCAGCAAGCCGAACATAGAATGAGTTTGCATGACGTGAGGTGTTATTGTGATGAACCAGCAATAAAACGTCAAACCCAAAAAGAAAATGAAAATTATGGAAGATTTTTTTATTGCTGTAGTCAACAAGCTACCTGTAATTATTTCGTTTGGGAAGACGAGTATCAAGTTAAAGCCAAGTGTTACTGTGGTGAGTACGCAATAAAACGTAAAGTAAAAAAGGACAATATGAATCATGGAAGGTTTTTTTATTGCTGTGCTGATTATCAGGATAAATGTGATTATTTCATGTGGGAAGATGAATTTCAATCAGTCTTTAAATGTTTTTGTATGGAATATGCCGTTAAGCGTAGGGTAAAAAAGCATAGCATAAATCATGGAAGATTTTTTTATTCATGTGCTAAACAATATGAAAGGTGCAACTTTTTTGAGTGGGCATAAAATTAGTTATTTTTTTATTGAAATAAAAAAATGTATTAATTTTGAATTTGTAAAACGAATATGCTTCATTTTTAGTGTATGGGTATGTATGACTATACGTCATTTTATTAGTAGGTTGCACTAGAACCTGAATAAGAAATATGTTAATAAGATATTCTCGTTAATTATATAGATACGTAAAAGTTATAAAAATGGACAAGTCATACGTAATTAAAGGTATTATTTAAAAATTATTTGAAAACAAATATTATATATGTACTATAAATGATTAAAAATATTTTTT